ACTCAAAGCAATTCCACAATAATCAGGAACAAGGCAAAGTTGTCCTCTCTTCATGATTTTTTTTTTTTTTTTGTTGTTGTTGTTGTTTTTCCAGACAGGGTTTTATCTGTGTAGCCCTGGATGTCTTCAAACTCAGAGTGATCCACATGTCTTCCCCTCCTGTGTGCTGGGATTAAAGGCATGCACTAGCATGCCTAGCCATACCTTTTCAGTATAGTTCCTGAAGCCTTAGCTAGAGCAATAACACAACTGAGGAAGATCAACGGGATACAAACCGGAAAAGAAATCAAAGTATCTTTTTTTGCAGGTTATATGATAGTATACATAAGTGACCATAAACATTCCACATGTAAATGTTTACAGCTGATAAACAATTTTAGCAATGTAGCTAAATACAAAATTAACTAAAAAAAAAAAAAATCAGTAGCCTTCTACTGAGAGACAGAAGGTTAATGGGGAGAGGGGTCATTAAGGTCTTTTTAGACTACTTTGTGCTGATTAGGGGCATTGAGTACCTAGGGGCAAGTCCAGTCTTTGTCTACAGGATATTTTCAATTTCTCATGATCACTTGAGGAACCAGCAGAGGAACTGCTGTGCCTTCTCTCTTGGGACTCTGGTCTTTTTACACCCTCTCTAGAGTTCCTAGAAATAAACTGTCATCAGCTGGCAGAATCACGCCGCTGGCAGAATCACGCCCCTGCCAGAGCCTGCATGAGGTAAATAGTCTGCTGCTGTGGACAGTCTGAGGCAGCGCCATATCCCACACCTGGGATTAAAAGAAAAACATGTTTACGCAACATAACTGGGTTTTTAAAGACACCAAAATTCTCACTGCATTTCTCCTTTTCTGTTTTATCCCAATAATCGTACTGAGTTTAGTGAGAAATTAGAGACATTATTAATGAAATAAACACTTTTCAAATCAGTGGTCAAGGTTTTTGTTTTGTTTTGTTTTGCTATAACCTGGTAACTCTCAGATGCTGTTGTCTGTTGTACGTTTTGGTGCTGAACCTTGAGCTTTGTGGCTCCAAAACTGCTTTCTGATGGCAAGAAATTATCTTGTATGTCCCTCTTGGACCTGTACTCATTAGTCCAGTTACTTCCTTTATCACAGTGTCTACAGACGCTAGGAAGCCTTGGCAATTCTTACTGAGAACCCAGTGCTGTCATGTCATAACATAACATAACATAACATAACATAACATAACATAACATAACATAACATAACATAACATAACATAACA